AACTGCAAGCGGCTGTCTCACGGCAAAGTGGCTATATTCAATGAATTGTTGGCAACTTGGCAACTTCAGTTGGGAACCAGAATTCAAAATAAAAATTTTAACAATTCTGTAAAAACAAAAATGTTGTCCAGGATTGCAATGTGGCCAGCTTTGGCTGAGGGTCACTTCACAAATCCTTTCTTTTTTTTTTTTTCTTTTTTTTTAATTCCTTATTATAGAGTAATAGCAACTCATTCGGAACTTTCGGAAGTTAAAAAAATAAAAAATAAACTTCAAAGCAAACCGAAACATACCCGCTTGGAAGTCAAAACCCCTTTCAACCCCCTTTAAAACGCGTGTATACCCAACCCCCCCCTTCCCACCCTTCAAAACCCATGTATACTACCTCTACAAGGCAGAGGGTCACAGAACATTCAAATATAACGCCCGGGCCTTCTATTCGTATATAACGCCCGGGCGTTACATTCCAAGGGCCGTTCTATTTGAAAAAACGTGAGTAAAAGCAAAAATCCGATCTTTTTGGGGGAAATTCAAATCGAATATAACGCCCATGCGTTATTTTCGGGGGAAGATGGTACGCCACCGGAAGGACTGCCACAATTCGGAAACATACGAGACATACATGACCGAACGTCCAGCAACTCGACAGAGGAGTCTAAAAAAACTCAACTACAAGTATCCCAAAAGGTCACGATCGTAACGTGACGCTTCAGCTGGGAGTGGCTGGCTAATGGCAAAGCGGCTACAATCGAGGACCGCCATCTAGTCCGGAAGGACTGGCACGATTCGGAAAAAGACGACATGAAACCAGACATCCAGCAAATGGACGACGGCGATGCGGTAGGGTACAACGACGGGACCGCAGTGTTTGAACATTTTTGAAGACACTATCCACTGCCGGGACAGAGGCTTTGCACACGCGCTCGAAGATCAGAAAAAAAATGAAAAAAGAAAGAAAAAAAGAAAAAAAANAAAAAAAAAAAAAAAAAAAAAAACTATCGGACAGTCTGGAAATCTTTGGCTTAGAGCAGCCTGTTTTTTTTTTTGGGGTTCCATGGGAGCAGCCAACTGGCAATCAAGGCTGATCGACGAAGGTCTGGTTTCAGGGACGGGGGTATGCAGGCAGAAATCAAGGGAGAGAGGGGAAGAGCGAGTCGACGTCATCAGAAATCTCCACGAACTCGAGCTGGCAGATTCGGCCACCGCATGTGAGAGTGATCATTGGAGAGAGGCAAGCTGGCAGTCGCAGTAGGTCCTCTATGAGATGCTGACCCTGGATCCTTCGGCCGATGGAAGGAGGCGTGCGACGTTTTTTAAATGAAGATTTACGACTTGCCGGTGGAAAAGGAACCACACTTTTCTTTTCTTTTTTTTTCTTTTCTTTTTTTTTCTGAAGTCTTATTTTAAAGGGAATAGCGGGTCGCATGATGCTCCCACGAAGCCAGCCTCCCAGTGTTGGGAAAACGGGCGGAGACAAGGTGTCCGCCCAAGAGAAACCGGGAGAAACGCACAAGACATTTGTGCAGCGTCGTTGTCCGGCAGCGCATGTTGGAATACAAGTACATAGCAGCCCACCACATTGCGGTGTCTTTTTGTTTTTTCCTTTTTCAGTAGCGGTTCGCTTCCTGAGGCAGCACATTGATGCATCTTCCAGATTTTATCCATGGCCCCTCCTCAATCTCACACGTGGCGCTTTTCAGGTAGGTTCTTCTTTTTTGCTCCCTGCACGTGGCCTTGTTGTCCGCCTGCATGCAACCGTGTCGATTTGTTTACATCCTCACTATACATCTTTTTTCTTTTTTTCTTTTTTTCTTTTTTTCTTTTTCGGGACAAATGCTCCAGTCTATTCGTGAACCTCGCTATACATCGTACTCACCACATGCACAAAAGACAAAAACGTTCCACTGTGCATCTTGCCATGTTCACACCAAAGATTCATTCCTCACAATATTCTGGGATGGTCCCCCAATGCATGCAACCCTGTATTTGCACTTACGGCATCGCTCCACGACTCACCACACACGTTCACAAAAGGCAAAACATAAGTGTGAATTTGCTTCTTAGCGCCTCGCTCAACTGCTCACCACATGCACAAAAGACAACAATACGGCAGTGCATCTTCCCATCTTCATGGGGAAGATTCATTTCTCACAATGCAAGCATACACAAGGGCCTATCTGGGCTCCGTCCATTTCTCACCACATGCACCACCGCGATCACCAAATGCATGAAAGACAAAAACGTGACGGTGTATCTTCCCTCGTTCATGGGGAAGATTCATTTCTCACAATGCAACCGCACACAAGGGCCTACCTCGGCTCGGTCCATTCGGCCTTCCATACTTAGGGGGCGATTTGGTTATTATTTGGAAGTCTTTAATTTAATTTAAATTCAATAGATTCCGCGACTGTATTTATTGAATTGATTGTAATTGTATATATAATTGCTTTCTTAGAGGGAATAAGAGAAAGTCCTATCCGTCGCGAGAGCGGCGGCATGCTCTACCAGGCTCTTCCCTTCCGCCCGTGAGCCAAAATAATGTTATATTTTAATTCTTCCTGGATTTGGGCGTAAAAGGTTTTTTTTTGAATTCAGTAAATGGAGGGTCTACACTTATCAGTCTTGGAAAAAACAATATTACAATGGAAGCACCTATCTCTGATATAATAAAAAACCTGAGTAGATCTGGATTTTGTGATCAAGCGGGTAAACCACATGCCAAATTGGCAACCGTCAGGTTGGAATTCTATATAGTAACCAGAAGACAAAAAATATGACGGGTTTTGGGCCTCCACGTTCCATGCACAATAGTGAAAAAGGGGGAAGATCGCGGGATGCATGGTAGACAAAAAAATTGTTGCCGTGTATGTTCCCATGTTCTTGCAGAAGATTCATTCTCATTTTGCACGTTTTGTGCGTAGTGGAGTGGAGGCCATGGAAGGCTGAAAAGGGGCAAAACCCAACAGCCCTCCTGGCTCATTGGATGCACACATCAAACTGTTTTTGAAATGTAGACGTGAGTTGAAATCGGGCTGCAACCAGAACAATCAAGAGTTCTGTTCTGATTTACAAAGGATCCAGCGGCCCCGTGAGCTGATCGCTTGGCCGATGCCGCCGTCCCGAATACTGCGCATTCCTCATGTTCTACAACAACCCCCCTTGGTGTCACCCGGGCCAGATAATGGCTGCGCCCGGGTCGGACTTGGCGCTGGGCCGCGACTTCGCCGTGCCGGGCTCACTTGTTTTTTTTTTCAAAGAAAGCACACTGATGGTCCCCAGAATTAAAAAAAGAGCCAGGGCCATAAGGTCCAGTTTGGTAAGAAACAAACTAAAAAAGGGATTTCCATGCATTTTTCTGTGTCTAATTTCCAGTCCCGATCCTAGTCCCAGTCCCAGTCCCGGTCCCAGTCCCGGTCCCGGACACTGGTAGGCCCATTTGTAAGTCAGAACCCACAGAGCGCAGAGAATCCAGTATAGGTTGATCCATACTACCCTTCCATCCGGTAGATCTTTATGCCCTTCTCAGTCCGACTACGTTAGCAAGCAAAGGTGTGCCAGGACAACCGTACAATCGCTCCATGCCCATCGTTGCGAAACCAGCCGTAATCGCCGTCAGCCGGCTGCACACAATTCTGCGATCCTACGCTTTCCGTTATCCGTCACATTCGATTCATATCGTCGACTACCGATATCCCTCACATGAGACGCGAACAACTTTCCCAAGTTCGAAAGTCACACGACAAAGACAAATACATCATCATCCCATCCCATCCATTCACCATAGACCGGATTCGTCCGCTACAGACAGTGCCTATGTAATCAGGAGTACATTCAACCCGTAGCGAATTCGTGCCGAGAGTATAGAACATCGGAACATGTTAAACGAAGTGAACCGATGATATCTCAACCCAAACTCTTGACAAAACAAATGATCACGCTCCGATGTTCGACACTCTCGGCACGAATTCGCTACAGGTTCGGCATCGGGTCCATCAGCGGGGCATCTCAGTTAGCTCACGTGGCCGATAAGCAAATGATCATGCGCGGCATTAAAAGTGCCCTCCACATACAACAGGGCTTGTGCAGTGTGAGCTTCAACCGTGACAACTGCAAGGGTCGTCTTGCCCAGAACTAGTGCCTGCGATCGCTGCCAGACAGATCTGTTGGAAAGTCTGGATCACTTCGCCAGTCTATCGCATTTCTGTTCGTAACTTCACACGTAACTCTCCATGCTCTCTCTCTCTCTCTCTCTCTCTCTCTCTCTCTCTCTCTCTCTCTCTCTCTCTCTCTCTCTCTCTCTCTCTCTCTCTCTCTCTCTCTCTCTCTCTCGTTTTTGTTGTCATGTTAGGTAGATACATATATACAGATCTACAAAAGAAAAAGTATGACGGTGCCACTGTTTAGCTGGAGTTTCACGGCCTCATCAGGAGGTTGAGGCCCCGGCAGTCTGCCCAGGATGCATTCGAGTGATGGATAAGGACTCACAGCGTCTAACTCTGAGTTGACCATACCCATCAAAAAAAAAAAAAAAAAAAAAAAAGAAGCCATACTGGCATACCCACAATAGAGAGAGAAACGTGGGGGGGACCTTTTTTTTTTTTTTTTTTAATGAAAGTGGTGGACTTCACTCACATCAACCCTGCAATCCTTTAAAAAAAAAGCTTCCTGCAATCCTAGCAGGAGACTGTCGGGCGTTCATAGTTCAAACCCCTGGACAAGAACGGCAGTAAATCTGAGAAACTACCTACCTAGTCTGGCACAACCATAAATAAATAAATCGCTATACGCACCCATGTATGGATCTATATGTATCAAATATAATGAAATAAGATATATTTACAAATATAATAATCTACATGTATAGATTATATATTTGTAATTATATATATAATCGTATAAAAATTTCTTATTTATAGAATTAGTCAGTACACTCAGCCATGTTCGCTCTGTATGTCTGTGTGTGTGCGTGTGTGGCTGCTAGAAGAGCAAGACGACAGAAGGAATCGGTTCAAGCGAAGCCTTGAGCCTCACATGTCATTTACAGATCTCGAAGGGGGGTGAAATTTAGGAAAGAAAGTTTCGACAATTCTACCGGCAAGCAAAAGTAGCGTCTAGGGTTGAAGTTCCTGAAAAAATCCAGTTGGGGTCTAATACATGGTACATGGGCCATGGAAGCAAAGAAATGATCCCCCTTAAAGGAAAGGTGCACATTGAGAGAATGCAGGTTTAGTTTCTGACACTTGCCGAAGATTGCCGCTTGCAGAAGAAGAAGAAGAAGAGGGAGAATGCAGGTTTGGTTTCTGACGCTTGCCGAACATTGCCGCCTGAAGAAGAAGAAGAAGAAGAAGAGGGAGAAGAAGAAGAAGAAGAAGAAGAAGAAGAAGAAGAAGAAGAAGAAGAAGAAGAAGAAGAAGTAGTTTACAAACTTTCAATGAAGCGCAGAAGAACAAAAAAACGACGGGTGAGACGTGCTGCCCCGAATTCCCACTCGATAAAGATTAATATGTTGTTTGAGAAAACACAAGGCAAAATGTGCATGACAACAGTCATTACCAATTTAGGAAAGATCAAGAAGCAACCAAAGAATACGCGCATCGCATTGATGGCACAGTACTTTGCAAATTTCCTTTTGTGTTATGAAGGGTAGGCGGAAAAGAAGAAGAACAAGAGCGAGGAGGAGGAGGAGGAAGAAGAAGAAGAAGAAGACTGGATTTCCTGCTGTTTAGGAATCAACAGAAGGTGAAATTATTAAGGGGGGGGGGGAAAAACAAAAAAAACTAGCAAGGGTTGCGGTGTGCGCGAGAGGACTGTGTCGTGCAACCGAGTGACACCATGGGTGTGTGGCAAGTCATGTGCTTGTGAAGTTGGTTACTGGGTGGGTTTATCTCTGCTTCCACTCTAGTTTACATGTCATTTTGAAGTTTGCCTCATAACATCGAAGCCCCGCACATGCACTTCGGTCTGTTTCCGGAACCCCTCAATTATGGCCCTCCTCTCCTCTTCCTGCACCTCCTCCAGTATAGTCTTCTTTCTCGGTGGCACCTCAAGCCCCATCCGTATTGCCCTTAGTCGCTTGGCCTCATACTCCTTTTGTTCCCTTCGCTTCTGCTCTTCAAACTCCAGCTGCACACACACAAACACACACAGGTGGGCGATAGAATAGAGCATAATTATGAATCACCTGATGCTGGTCAGTCCAATGATGGTACATGAAGCCCGTCGGCCCTTTTTTGAGATGGAAAAAAGATGAGCGATCACAGGTGTCGACGAACCCTTATGACACAAGCACTTCTGGAATTACGCCGCAGGGCCGGACAACACGGCTCAATCCTCTGCAGCAGTGTTGAATTCACTTCTACCTCTGGATCTAAGATGGGCGACGATGATGACACTGAGGAAAAAATGCACAGTGGAGATCCTCTCATAAGGAGGTAGCTTGGACTCTCTCTCTCTCTCTCTCTCTCTCTCTCTCTCTCTCTCTCTCTCTCTCTCTCTCTCTCTCTCTCTCTCTCTCTCTACAGTCCTTATCACTCTCTCTCTCTCTCTCTCTCTCTCTCTCTCTCTCTCTCTCTCTCTCTCTCTCTCTCTCTCTCTCTCTCTCTCTCCCCCCCCCCCATCTCCTCATTCGTGGTATCTCCCCATGTGCATGATCGAGGAGGGACCTTTCGTCTTGTATGCAGTCCCTCCTCTCTCTCTCACAGGTGTGGTGTATGATGGGGTGTCGCACCGGTATCTGACATGTCAGGTCATATGTTCAAGTCTTCCACTGTGATACATTGTGCTATTTTCATATGTATGTGGATGTGCATTGCCTGTTGATGCTTTGCTGACACTGCATTGTCCATTTGAGTCCTTTTCATCACTTTGCGGATCCTTGGCTCCCCATACATCGCTCTACTGAACACGTATCAGTCGGTCTGTCGGTCTGTCGATCCTTCCATCCATCCGTTCGTCCATCCATCGGTCCGTTCGTCGGTCTGTCAGTCCATCCATCCGTCCATCCATCAGTAGGTATGCCGGTCTGTCTGTCTGTCTGTTCGTTGGTCCGTCCATCTGTCGGTCCATCTGTCGATCCGTTGGTCTGTCCGTCCATCGATTCGTCCGTCGATCCGTTCGTCTGTCCGCCCGTCCATCCATCCCTCTGTCCGTCTGTCAGTCCATTCGTCCGTCCGTTCTTCCGTTCGTCGGTCCATTGGTCTGTTCGTCACTTAAGGGTAGTTTAAGAGCTGGTCAGCTCATTGGATTTGACCACACCAAATAGAACAGATTGTCCCTATGAGCAATATAATACATGAGTAACAAACTTTTAAAACAATAGCGCAACAGACGTATGTGGGGGACATCTGCACCATCTACTCCTGCACCAGGTGGTGCTCTGCACCAGCCAATGCCTGTACCATGTGTTAGCTGGACCAGCTATGGCTTTGCCATCTCTGGTAGTTTGGCACCATCCACGCATGTTCCTTGAGGTAGTTTGGACCAGAAATGCTTGTATGGTGTGGTGTGGTAGTTTGCACCTGTACCATGTGGTAGCTGGACCAGCTATGGCTTTACCATCTGTGCATGTTCCTTGTGGTAGTTTGGACCAGGAAGGGATCTAAGAAAGTGTCTGATAATAAGGCTATACTCAACATCGCCCACTTCGTGGAGAAAGGGCCCGCCTATATCCAGAAATATCTATCTATCCTAATCGTAAGTTGAGATGCTCCCCACCAATAGATGGAGCCCCTCCTCCGGTGCTAGCGGTGTCTGCTCGTATCAGCACCTCTAACACTGACGAGATGAGGGTTTGATTTAAAAAAAAAAAAAAAAAAAAAGTTGAGTTGTACCATGAGGTAGTTGGAGCTACTATGGCTGTACCATGTGGTAGTTTGGCACCATCTGTGCATGTTCCTTGTGGATAGTTTTTACAAGAAGTGCTTGTATTGTGTGGTAGTTTGCACCAGCCAATGCCTGTACCATGCGGTAGCTGGACCAAGTATGGATGTACCACGCGGTCGGTAGTTGAACCACCTATGCCTGTGAATTGGGGTGGTCTGCACCCGCTATGCCTGTGTACAGGTAGAAGAGACACCCACACGAGTTCTGAAGTTTCGAAAACATATTTAAAAAAAATAATTAAAAAAAATGCAAAACCCTGACAAAGTTGTCGGCGACTGATCGGTGGTACAAAGTACTACAAACCTCAACTTGGTCTCTTGCTTCTCTCTGCGAGTAACCTTCTCTCATCAACTCCATCTGTCGCCAAGCGAAGCGCCGTGCAATTGGCGGTTCAAAACTATTGAGCCTGCAAAATCATCCAGAATTGGACAACACATATCACCAATGAATCACAGTGTTTAGTTTTCCCTTTTCAGACGGGCACGTTTGTGCCCACGTGGGGCATTGATTCGTTGTTTTCGGCCGCAGTGGGTCGCGATTTGTCGTTTTCTGCTCCACATGCAGGCACAAAGTGATTCATGTTCCTTCCATTTGGAGCGGACGGCGCGATTCGTTGCTTCCAGTGGATACATAGCCAGGACACATAGCAAGGCCAGCGCGTTGTCTCCACGTGGATGTTTGAATACAAGTACATAGTGGATCCATTTGCACGGGAAGAAGCCATGTGACGGTCCGCAACTAGGTCACGAGTTCGAATCTGGCCATGCTTACTTCCGCCTAGGAGCAATTGATGCTTGTACCATTCAGTCACATCAGCTTGGATCTTTTGAAGTTTTTTTTTCTTCTTTTTCTTTTTTTCTACAAGGACGACAGCTTAGATATCATCTTCTCTCTTTTTCTGTTTGTTTTTTTTCCCCCGAGAAAACATCTTTTCAAAGATATCATCTTCCAACTGACCGGGCACAGGTAAATTCTGGGTTAGGACCTACCACTGAACATGGGAAGATTCACCACCATATTTTTGTTCTTTTGTACATACGGTGCGTAGTTTAGGGAGGCCCATAGTGCCATCGAGTTCACATACTAGGACCCGGGCCATGTTGTATCACCCAAGCCACATGGGAAGATACACCACCATACTTTTTGTCTTTCGTGCATGTGGTGAGCAGTGGGGGAAGGGCCATGGTGCCATCCAGTTCACATACTATTGATCTGTCCCATGTTGTATCACCCAAGCCATATAGTATCACCTGGGTGGCACGGTACCACCCAGTCCACATAGTATGACCCACCCCACATGGTGCCTCACTTAGCATCACCCAAGCCACATAGTATCACATGGGACGCATGGTACCACCCCATCCACCTAGTATGGCCCATCCCACATGGTGCCCCACTTAGTATCACCCAAGCCACATAGTATCACCTGGGCGGCTACCACCCAATCCACATAGTATGGCCCACCCCACATTGTGCCCCACTTAGTATCACCCACACCTAATACTATCGCCCTGCCCACAAAATGCACCCCGCGCGCTACCGTCCAAACCAAATGCCACATAATACTGCCTGTGGTCCATCCCATGTGGTACGACCAAACCGCTCAGCCCTGACGGCAGCAAGGGCTAAACTGTGTCAGTCGTTGGCCATGTTTTCTGCTTTTATTTTGGCCTGTGGCTTGGTGGGTAGGGCACCGGTTCGAAATGCGAATTGTGGTCTCAGGTCGCGGGTTCAAAACTCTGCACCCACGTGCAGGGACACCGGCGGGCGTTTGCATAACACAGCCATTTGCACACTCCCCTTGGGCTGACGCATGCTAAGGATTTTTTACAGACACAGCCTGCGCACCACCCAAGGGGGTTTAGTCCATGGTTGTTGTATGCTGGGTCTAGGCTATGAGAGGTTTGCCTGATGTTCTTGGTCCATGGGGTTGTCCGGGTGATCGTGGGGTTCGATACCTGATAAACGAAGAGAGTTTAAAAGTTGTGGAAATGCAGACACGGTTGTGGGAGACTGGTCACGTAGAATTGGTTACCTTAGGGTTCTGCTTTGAAGAGGCATGGGCTATGGATGGGATTCAATCAGGGACTCCGCTGGGGGGAGGGTAGGTAGGACAAGACTCAATTGGAGGATATCGGTGGAGAACCTGCAGTAGGGGATGTCTTAGGGGTCCCATTGGTAGGAGTAGAGGTGGGATAGGCTCCAGTGGAGGATATCGTTGGAGAACCTGCCCTAGAGGCTGTCTCAAAGGGTGAGGGTGGTCAGCTACCGGCATGGAGAACACAATGAGATTAGAGTAGTCCAGAGTAGGTCTAGTTGATGATAGAGGTGGGGGAGCGAACAGTGGTCGTCAACCCACTGAGAACAGAAAATAGAGATACTCTGGAGGACAATAAAAAATGACTAGAGACCCAGTTGACGATACAGGTAAGGGGAGCGGATGGTGGTCGTGCGCTTGTTGAGGACAGGGACTGGAGATTCTCTAGGTAAGAACAACCTCCAATAGGAAAGGGTTCAAGAACATACATAGAATTCAAGATAATAACCAGAGGGATCTGATGATGATAAGGCGACGATCTTGCTAACAAGGGAAAAAAAAGGCTTCACCTGTGGGACTTGTAGTCGAATGACTACCCCTAGCACTCGATGTACCCGTTGTACGACAGGGCTCATCCGACTATGGTTCAATCAGGGCTGGGGATGGAGGCGAGGACCTGCTTAGCCCGATGCCTATAACCACTGTTCGGTCAGGTCACTAGAAAAGGGTGACGAATCGGATGATCCTGGGTGGTAAAAACAATAAGGTAGGGACTTGGGAGTAGGGATGCGCCGGGGTCTCATTGGGGGCCTGTATAGAAAAAATCATCTGGATGGTAGCACCTTGGGAATAGGGATGCGCCGGGAACAGTAATGATGAGTAAGGGTGGGAGGGAGTCTCTTTTTCTTTTCTTTTTTTTTTCTTTTTTTTTTTTTTTAAACAACACCCCCACCGGTGCTAGTGGTGCTGATAAGAGCAGACACCACTACCACCCGGGGAGAGGCTCCATCTATTGGTGGGGAGCATCACCTGCTGGAAAACGGGTCCAGCGTCCCAAATACAGAGTGTAGTCAGAGAACATCAGAGAAACAATCCTGCCAGCATTGAGGGTAATCAATGCTGGCAGGATTGTTTCTCTGATGTTCTCTGATTACACTCTGTATTTGGGACGCTGGACCTGTTTTCCAGCAGGTGATGCATAGGGGACCTGTATAGAAAAAAACATCTGGATGGTAGGACCTTGGGAATAGGGATGCGCCGGGAACAGTAATGATGAGTAAGGGTGGGAGGGAGTCTCATAGGGGGCCTGTATAGAAAAAATCATCTGGATGATCATTGGCCAACTGCTGAAGGGCCTGTCATATGCCTGGTGGCTAGCCTCTACAACAACCTGGACTTCTTGAAGGCAATGTGGTCGTCTTGGGGGAAGAGGACTCCATGCTGCTGCAGAAGATCGACAATGTCATTTCCAGTTCCGGTTTCATTGCCCTAGCCTGCGATACGTGAGAGCACTGTGGAGAGGTTGACTTGGCAAGTGACACTGTGTCTACCTTCTTCCCCCGAATACAACGTACGGTCATTACAGCTGTATTTGAGGCATCTTTCAGTCTAGATACAGCTATAATGACCGTACGTTGTATTCGGGGGAAGAAGGTAGGCTGGCGGTCAAGACGTTGACGTATACAATCCACTAGCGTCTTCACCTGAATAGAACGCCCGGTAATTATCGCGGTATCTGGGCTGAAAGTTGTGGCAAATATGGCTATAATGACCGGGCGTTATATTCGGGTGAAGATGGTAGACATACTGAGGTGGTGAGAAGAGATCCCGTGGAAGACGAGAGAGAAGCAGTCTGCACATTGTATTCGTTGTTTATATTCTTAAACCACAAGTACTTGGCCAAGCTATAGGCCGCAGGGAAAAACAGAGTAGAAACATTTCTAGTCGGATGAATTTGGCCGCTCCTGTAGTGGCCCGTACCTTTCCTAAAACCGTGGCTTGTTAACGGGCATGACTCTAGGACGTACTGGTGGTTTATACTTCCATGCTTTTGATTGTCTTCTTCACATAGTCTTATCTCTCTATGCTGTCTCAATTTGCTTGTTCTAATTCAGTCAAGTCTTGGGAGAGTCTTATCTCTCTATGCTGTCTCAATTTGCTTGTTCTCATTGAGGCAAGCCTTGGGAGCTCATGTGAGACTTGATTGCTGAGTGTCTGGCCAGAGGTGAAATGCGGGTTTCACATTCTACGGTAGAAAGCGGGTTCTAACCAGGTTCTATCGCCAGTTCTATAGGACAGAACACACCCCTGCAAATGGCATGGAGGCCCGATGGGGGGGGGGTACGGAGGCGGCAGGGATGTGGAGGTGGTTGTTGGGTACCCCCTCCTGCAATTTTTTTTCTTTTTTTTTAAATAAACTTCAGGCAAACTTGAGAGGTTCAGGTGGACCTGAGAGGAAAGGGGGATACTAGGCAGACTGACAGTGAATCCTCCATGCACATGGAGTAATCAATGCTGATCAGGGGTCCTTCGGCCAAACGGAAGGAAGCGTGCGTGTGTCGTTTGATGTAATTTATGACTTGCCGATGGAAAAGGAACCGGACTGACGCTCCCCAGAATGGATATGGAGCCAGGACTATAAGGCCCTGTTTCAGAAAAAAACAAGGGGGTCTGAAATGCCGGGGGCGGGCTGAGGTTTCATGCAGGCCCCCGCCGCATACCGCCGGTTTGGAGGGGGGCTCTGTACTGGAGTGGCTCTTGGCAACGGCCAGAAAGGGGACCACTGCCCGCGGCCAACCACTATATGAGCGAAGAGAGAGCAAGAGCAACGTGGCAGCGTGACGGCCGCTGAGAGCGAGCGAGCGAGTGGGCAAGAGAG